CCTCACTTGTTCATTATGAAGGTATAACAATATAATCCTTAGGAATGGCAACGGGTGCAAAGGCAACAGGAGTGTAACAATAAATTCCATGAAACCAGTGCTATGAAGTAACCAGTTCCATGAAACTAGTACCTCCATGGAGGTACTAGTTCCATTAAGTTGTATGAAAAGATACTCGTATTAATAATAGTAAATACAAATAGAAATGAAATGTATAACATATAATTTACTTTGCACAATTTTTTATGTATACATATGTATGAATTCCTATTTTATGTATGATCTTTGAGTGAAATAATTAAAGAGCTTTTCATCCTTACTCTTTAACTATGTTTCTATCATAGAAAGGGTGCTGTTTTTTTTATTTTACGTATTGTAACTAGGTATTTATTATGTTATATTATTTTTGTATTGTACTTAATGGTTGAGAGATTGGCAGCAACGTCTGGTTTTTTGTGGGATACATAAAATAACTCTGATAAATGTGAATTACTTTTTAGACTTTGGAGATGTACAAGTATCATAAAATGCAATGTATTTTTATTTTGCTTTAGACCAAATATATTTTAAAATAAAAATGAATTTATATTTCTTTTTTAGACCAGATATACCATAAAACTCCATAAAACAGTTGCATAAAAAGATGTTTTCAAACTCCTGGGCTGGAAAATATATGGTAGGAACATCAATAGTGAATACATCACTCACCTTCGATTTATTGACGACATAGTAGTCATGACGGACTCGCTGGAGGACTTGTATACTATAGTCAATGATCTTTATAATGTTTCTCAACAGGTAGGTCTTAATATGAACATGGACAAAACTAAAATCATGTCTAACGTCCATGTCACATCTATACCGGCTATAACAGAGAACACCAAACTCTAAGTAGTCGATGACTTTGACCGACAAGTTAATCGACGACTTCAACTCGGCAGTGTAGCGTTCGGAAAACTACGCTACATTTTTTTATGCAAAATACCTCAGACTTTGAAAATAAAGATCTTAACCAGTGCGTGTTGCAAGTGATGATACGCAATCGAAACATGGTCCTACACTGTTGGCCACATGCAAAAGCTTCAAGTTACTCAGCGAGTTACGGAGAGAGCTATGTTCAGAGTTTCTTTGCGTGATAGAATCAGAAATGAGGATATATCTGATTCTATCCCAGAAGGACCGTGGTGACCAATATAATCCAAAGGAAAGCAAGCTGAAGTGGCATCGGGTTGGTTGCATGGCTCGAGGAACTGACAATCGATGGGAAAGAAACATTCTCGAGTGGCAAACTCACTATGGGCAAACATAGTGTAGGATCATCTCCCACTAAATGGGAGTTCAAATGCATTGCAGGGAGATAGTGGTAATGCAGGTGGCTTGGGACCGTTCCTTAGTCAGTCTACGGGGAGGACTATGCTCAATAGCGGAGAGATAATTACTGATGATGATTCCATTAGATCATGATTAAAATGAAAAATATTTACATTTTACTTCTGATGTACTATACGAGCTTATAACATTAATTCTGTTTTAGTTACCCCACATAGTCACGGAAAGATTATACGGATCTCACAACTCTTTAGAGCGGCGGATAATATTGGTTTTGTAAATAACTAAACGGAGAAAGGATTACCGAGCGAGTTGTGAAATGTATCCCTAGTTTCGCATAAATTAACTCGGATCCTCTGTACAGCGACGCGATATGTAAATTTTGAACGTTTCTATGGCTGTTTCCTAATATTAGAACAGTGCCTACATTAGAATTTACTTAAATGTGGCAACATCGGAATTATCTGTCAATTTAAAAAAAGTCGAACAATTTAATTTTTTTCTGATTATTTAAAAAAACTGGTTTGATAATAAACTGTGATATAAATATACCTTAAAAAATCTTGTCTTAGTTCATATTTTGCTTTTGAAATATTGAAATAATTTTATGCCATCAAAATTTTTTTTTTTGTGATAGCATAATAACAATTTTATTGTATAAGTAATTTTATACTACTACTTCCTATGCCACTGTGTTAGGTTGACTGGAAGAAATCTCTTTTAGAGATAAGTTCGCCTTTGCTAACATTGTTATTAACTTATTGTTGTTACTGTATTATATATATATATATTATAGTTAATTATCAAAACTTTTTATAAATTAAACAAAAATGAATAAAGTAAGAAATATTAAAGGTAATTTGTTGACATTTAATTCGATCAAGTTAAAAAAATTTGCATAAAATGTTTTTACATAATACACTATTAACAATAATTTATCTAAATATATGTTATGTATTTTATATATTTATTTATATAATGTATACTATTATAAGTACTTAGATGTATGTAATGTATGCATATGATTATTTGTGTATGTTTTATTTACATGAGCATGGGGGGGGGGGGGAAGAGATTGTTCGTAATAAATAACTAGCAATTTACTCTGTCAGGTCGACCTCCACGTGCTCCCGAACATTTTTATAGCATCTTTAACGCCAATAGCTACCGTCTTTTTCTTTTTTCCTCTACCCAAAGGTTGTCTGGAAGAGAATGCTTAACGCATATAACAGTCAATAAAATTCAGAAATATGTAATTACCTAAATTATTGATATTTATTACAAAATATTGTAAAGAGAAAAAAGATATTTAGATTGTGTGACGGCTTTATATGTGATTCAATAGTTTATACTTGAAATTGCGCTGTGAGTCATGGAAAATATCAAAGTCCTTTATATGAAGTATTACATATACAATATTTTAAACCCTTACCTATAAATAGGTACAAAAGGCAGTCTTGCATCGCCAAAGATAGGAGAAATTAATCAAGCATATAATAATGATACCTTTTGCTAATCTGTATTTAGATTATATTGTATAATAGAGTATCGAGTCTCAAAAACCGGCCAACATTTTGTTAGCTAATTGTCAAATTAGCTGCATTGTTTTTTTATCAGTGTTCTATATACTTACGCATACAATGTATCTTGACGTATTATTTAATAAATAAAATGAGTTTTTACGCATTAAATTGGAGGCAGAAATTATAAGACAAAATAAATATAGAAGTTATAAAGGAATCACTTATTTATCACACAAAATTGTATGAAAAAAGTTGGCCCGCTTTTCTCGAAGCATTTGTATGGAGACACTCTATCTATATAATCTTAGTCTGTGTAGTATAACCATAGGGTAAGTGTTGGTATTACTGCGGGTGTAGATGTTACTGCGGATTTTCTTGTTTTAATTATCAATAAACTAGCGGCCCGTCCCGGCTTCGCACGGGTGGACATTTTTACAACATTTTACATTTTTATCTGTTCCTACCTAGCTACCTATTTCATAGATGTGCCCGCCCCCACCTGCCCTTCTTCCGCACCGCTAAAATAAGTATGAATAACATGTACAACGCGACAGCGTTATTTTTTCTATTTCTATGACTTATTAAATTCGTAATATCTATTGAATGGAATAGCCGATTTGAACAATTCAAAAAGCAATCAACATAAATTGAAACAGTTTTTTATCAAAATTGCAAAGAAAATAGCCAATCTTGTAACGTTTCTTTAACCTATGACTATCCATATTTCAAAAAAGTAGTATTAAATTTCAATAAAAAAGGTAGAGTACTTTGTGAACAAGTTACCTATGCATGTATTAACAGATATTCAAATTTGCGGCTACATTATTATCAGGCGTTCTCATCATAATGATTACTTATTCTGAGGCGTTCGCATTTTGTTATAAAGATGTTGCGTTTCTCGCTCGTCGTGTATAATAAAAAAATATTATAATGTACTTGCCAATATATTTATATTAGTATAATATAATATGTTTCAATTTTCCTTCCGTTATAAGCTAGCTTTTGCTTGTAAAATTGTATGTTAAATAAATATTTAAGATATCTACCTAGTTTATGGGATGGGGAAAGGGGTTGCTAGCAATGGAGTTTAACAATCCCATTGTTAGCAATGTATCTATCAGGTCGATCTCCACGTGGTTTCCCCTAAAAACTATCGTGAATAATTCTTGTTGAATTCGTCACAATCATCTCTCACTGGTGCCCCGCCAGTGTATACCGACAGCACAGGCGGGGTTACCATTTTATTATCACTCATTAAAAAGTTTATTTTTATTATTATTAAAAGATACTTGGATCAATCGCCACATAATCATCATGATCATATTACCGTTAACAGTCCACTGTGGGGAGTATGGATTGTTAGTAATGGGGAGGTTAGTCCCCATCGCTATCAATATACCTTATCAGGTCTACCTCCACTGGGTTCCCCCTGGAACCCATCGTGACAAATTTATCATTGAATTCGTCACGATGGGCTAATTAACCTGTCTTTTCATCCTCACCAATCATCCTTCGTTGGTGCCACGCTAGTGTATACAGATAGCGCGGGCGGAGTTGCCATTATTATCCATAAAAAAAAACAGCCCGCTGCTGAACATAGGCCTCTTCCATAAGGTGGGTTCTGTGAAGCTTGGCAGGCGGGTTGGCAACCGCAGTTAGGTTTTTGGTGACGTTTTAAGAGAGAGGTCCATCCCTCCACCATTAAGTTACCTCAGTCGTATTTAGGGATACTCATGGGAAAGGAAGCGGTGTCACATTCTAAGTCGGGACCACACGGCAAAAGTATGTGTAGGTAGGCCTAATTTCTTAATAATTAATGATTACTCCAGTCATTAAAAGCGTTAAAACAATAACAAACAAACAAAAAACCCACTATCACATTTACCAGAGGGAAACTTTGTACAGAAGTTGTTTGTTTGAGTACCTCTGTCCGATACGTCTTTGCCGTGAAGTAGTTGTGTTTGCTTGGCTGTGTTTCGATTTAAAGGGATATGGCAGTTAAATTACAGAGTATAGAGGAATAACACCTCAGTCCTTAGGAATGGTAATGCATAAAGGCATAATATACTCTGTTATGTTCATGGTACTGTTCATGTCTCTAGGCAACGGTTACCACTTTCCATCAGGAGGTACGTCAGCTTGCTTGCCATTCTGAGTTGTATAAAAAAAAGCAAGAATATTTATCAACACTTTTTAAAAAATGCACATCGAATATGTGATGGTTAAGCAATTATTATAATAGATTTTTTTGTAATCAGACTTCGCCAATTAAGTTCAGAAATTATCATAGAAGTTTCGTCTTTCACTGATAATTTAATTTGTACTTTTGTAAGTTCATTTTATAGCGTTAGTTTAATTTATTTAAGTTACGAACTTCTTGGAAATAAATGCTTAAATCAGAACTTCTATGAACAAGTGTAGCATTTATTTAACTGTATAATTAAAAAAGAAAAATATAAAAGACTGTTGTAAATCCAGATTTCTTATTATATTCTTTTTTTACAATTGTTATAGATATAAACAATCATAAGAAATGATTACAGTGAGAAAACAATGGGCGACTTTATTGCTAAAAGCGATCTCTACCAGACAAACTTTAGATGGAGTGGAGTAATTATAAACAGTTTGATCGGAGGCACGAAGAAAATTTTGACATTTTCAAATGCTTATGGAGATGTAATCCATGCAATAATGTTATTTTATACAAACAGACAAAGAGACTTCACGTATACACCATTATGTGCAGCCTTCTTACATTACTTAACAGTTTAATTTCAAACTTTAAATTATTGTAATTCAGTAAGTACGACTGACAAAAAGTTTTCAGTGGTCGACCCAAAAAGTAAAAGTAATTTCAAACTCCAATTTTAATAAATCGGAGTTTACCTCACTATCTAAAATTTTACTTGTTCAAATTGTAAAATGTGCTTGAACAAAATGGACGAATCCATAAAGAAGACTCATCCGGAAAAACGTCTTATGAAATTTATTTGTAAAAACCTGTATTATTTGGGTTGCGGGCAATATTGGTACGAATCGATAGATCGGTCTAAGTTCGAGACAAAAATGTATGTATTATGGGCAATTATAACAAACGTTTACTTGTATGGCATTATAGTGAACGAATGTCTTGGCCATTTGAGATCTAATTTGACTGTTAAAGAGAAAAATGATTTAATACAATTCACTTGTGGACACCCAGCTGTTGGTTTGAAATTTATAATTTTGTTCATACGAAGGGATCAAGTTAAATATATGTTAAAAAGATTATTGGAAGGTACACGGCCTATATTTTCGTCGTTGGATATCGACAAGGCGTCTACGCAGAAAGCGGTCTTTTATTGTATTACATTGGTGATAACCACGTATAGTACTGTGATGTTAACGGATTTAGAAGCTGTTGTTGCATACTATAAAGAAGGTAAAATATAAAAATGTCATATCAGTTCGTGTTGTATTAACCGTTACTTGTCCACTGCTGAGCATAGCGCTTCCTATCATAAGAAACGGGGTCGTTCCTTATGGTAGTTTACCTTTGGGGGGGTTTGCCAGTAGTTGCCACATTTGGCTGGCGGATTGGCAACCGTAGTTAGGCTTTGGTGATGTTTCAAGAAGGACTCTGCTATCCATCTTCCGATCATTAAGTTTTCTTAGTTAACTCTAACGACACCCACAGAAAAAGGAGGGGTGGCCCATTCTATGCAATACTATCACATGGCAATACTACCTGTAACAACAACTATTTATGAGGGCAAATTAGAAATAGAATAGGCGGCAGACATGGGCGGTTTCTTTTGGCAACGCAGTTCTGAAGTTCAGTCGAAAGTATTATTAATGATGCCTAGCACCTGGAGCGCATCCTTAAACATCGACGTCCCTGGGCTTTCTAGACTCCTCTCCCTTATCATTGCCATTGAAAGTTGGGCTATTTCAGGCAAAAACTTGTGGTGCTGATCTATTTCGTCCACCTTTTATCAGAGTTTGCTTCTAATTCCTATCAGTGACAGGAATCTTATGATGTTCCAAGTTATACCAGCCATGAATTGTCTACTGTTGAACATAGCCTCTCCCATAATAACGGGTTTGCCAATAGTTTCCACGGTTGGCAGGCCTTAAAACATCTCCAAAAGTCAAGCTGCGGTTGTCTTTTGGAGATGTTTTAAGAGGGACGCTGCTGCTCATCCTTCGCCCTCCCTTAGTCGCCTCATAGGATATTTACGGGAAAGGAAGGGGTGGCCTATTCTATGCCGGGACCACACGGGGAAATAAATAAATATGTATACGACATTTAATAACTTATTTTACATTCCCAGGTATACCAATCCGGACAGAAGTGACATATTTCCCGAAATCAGTAGACACGGTTGCTGCAAAAATTTTCCGATTCTTCATTGAGCTGCATTGGTGGTTTTTTGTTACAATCATGATCCAAGTGGATTGTCTCTGCTACTGTGCTCTGGTCTACATGAGCTTCAAATTTAAGGCTCTGCAGTTATACTTTGAAGAGCTCGGCAAGATTTTCTCGAATTCTGGTAAAAGGTCACGAAAAGAAATGGAAAAGGAATTTAAAGAAGCGTTCATAGTTGGTATGGGTTTACACGAGGATACTTTAGAGTGAGTATTGTTTATTTAACCGTCCACTGCTGAACATTAGCTTTCCCCATAGGGGGAGGTTTACCAATAGTTGTCATGCTTGGCAGGCGGGTTGGCAACCGCAGTTAGGCTTTTAGAGATGTTTTAAGAGGGACACTGCTGCCCATTCCTCGCCTTCCCTTAGTCGCCTCTTATGACACCCACGCGAAAGGAAGGGATGGCCTATTCTACGCCGTGGCGCACATAGCGAGTATTGTACTCGTATTTAATAAAATGCGAAAAGAAGGAGGTATATGTATCACTGATATACGCCTACATAATTACATAACTAAACATCATCATCATATCAGCTGTTAACTGCCTCTGCTGAACACATACCCCCCATAGGGGAGGGGGGGGGGGGGGTGACTCGGTTATAGTTTTGTAAGATTTTATACAATCACGCTTAAACTGCAGGACAGATTTGAATGTAATTGGATAAACGGGTAAGTTTACCTAATTTATATAATTCACATTGACTTATGTAGGCAAAGCCGCCGCAAAGAGTTAGATATTTTATAAAAAAATTATATTAATACTGTATACTGTCATTTTAGCTGCGCGAAGACGGTACAGAGTACTCTGGGAGCGATTTACAGTATACAAATATTCGAAAGTCTGTCCCTTATAGTCATGTGTCTTGTTAAACTCGTGGTAAGTATGACTTGAATTTTTTTTATTTGATCCACGCAATAGAAGTCTTTTTTACTGATTTTATAAAAGAAAAGGGTTCTTAATTCGGTTGTATTTTTTTGTTTCATCATCATCATCTTTATTTCAGTCATTATCCGTCCACTGCTGGACATAGGCCTCCCCATAGATAGCTATAAGGAACGGTCTTGAGCTACTTACATCCACTGACTCCCTGCAATGCATTTGAGGTCGTCTCACTTCATCTAGTAGGGTGTCGTCTTACACTGCGTTTGCCCGTACGGGTTCGCCACTCAAGAAACTTTCTTCCCCATTGGTTGTCGGTTTTTCGAGCTACATGACCAGCCCAATACCACTTCAGCTTGTTTATACTTCTTATTTTTTGTTTGTTTCCTCAAAACTCTGTTATTTATCAACCGATTTGGAAAATTATTTTTTTATCTTAAAGGATATACTTTTAGATTGGTCCCATAGGAGTTTTATGAAAATCAGTTCAAAAGTTGTTTTCAAAATCTCGTGTTCTTTGTGGAACAAATTTTTCTATTATATAATTATTTGCACTTCTATTTTTTATTTTAGCACGCGGAAAGAAACTTAATGTTTCTCCTTGCTGATCTGTCTTACATAACGGTGATGTTGGTATTAACCGGTGTTTACATGATGGTGTCTGGAGATATCACACATGAAGTAAGTGATGAACTTCAGAGGCGAGTAATGGAAAGATGTAACGTGAAGAGAAATGATTTATATCGATTTATGATTATTTATATTTTTATAATATGCCTACAAAATATAATCTATTTGAATGCCGCTTGTCTATAAATATTGTTGTGAATGGTGGGCTATCAAAACTGTTTTCTTATGATACTTAAAATTAGACATGAGTAGTATAGTGTACTTACACTGCGCATGTTGTGTATTGTGTTACTCTAAATGTCATTTTATGATCTCGATGGACCGGGCTAGGTGATGAGGTGCTACTTGATAATCAGCGTTTCTGCTTCTGCATGAACTTCAAGCTGAATTGGCATCCTTTTTCATTTCCATAACACTGACTGATTTCAACTACTCTTTATATATAAATGTAAACTTTTCTTTTCTATATATTTTTTTATGTTGTTATTACCTGTAATCTGAGTGTTCAATTAATAACTGTTACACAAACTCCTTGTTGGTTATTTATACAAAAAAGAAAAATAATGGTTTTATATATATTATTATTTAAGATAGAAATTTATATTTTGTCATTAATGTTCCTTTGAACCTCAATCATTCTTCCTTCTAATGATAATACTAGCCATCACGAGTATTGAGTTTTGTTTAAATTAATTGCAGGCGTACGAGCTGTCAACGTCTATATTTCATTGCGGTTGGGAGATGTCCAACAACCGTGACATACGCGCGTTAGCCGTGATAGCCATCCAGAGGAGTCAAGTGCCTGTCTATATGACTGGTTTAGGCTTAATCAAACTGTCGTACGCTAACTTCATATCGGTAAGTGATTAGTCATTAGTCATTTATTCAAAAATTAATGTATGTACATTGTGTCTGAAACTATGTATAATTATACAAAAAAACATATTAAATTGAATTGAATATTATTATTAAATATATCGTTAATATTATAAATCGATTATAAATTATAAAAAAAATCTATCTTTTAAGTTGGAGCAAACAATACTCGTTTATAAAATTTCATTAAAATGCCCGTTGGCTGGTTTCGGAGATCAGTAGGCATGGGTAACTGAACGATTATTCTTGCGTTAACTTAGTAAGTCAGGCGCACTCTACTGCGCCGGCGCATTGAGTTAATTCAAAATTGTAGCTACGTTACACAGGGCAACATACATAGGTGTGCTGTATATTTTGGTTGAGATTAGCATGAAGGAACATTGTAACCAGTGGCGTAGCTATCGGAGGGCTAGACAAGACAGTGCCCCGGGGCCCCCAAGCACAAGGGGCCCCTCGGACTCTGACTTAGAAGCTACAAATTGAACTAGTGAGAATTTCTCCAACATTCTGAATATAAATTAACCAGATTCCAGGAACGCGACTTTAATAATGGCAACTTATTTGAAAAAAATACAGGTGAATTCCTAACAAGTCTTGAATATCTCTGTATAAAACTTGCGGGGAACTTATCCTGTATTTTTTAGCTGATTTATTTTTTGCCCCAGGGCCTGGTTACTTAGCTACACCACTAATTGTGACACTGAATTTTTATATATTTATTAAGACTAACATAATTAGATTTTTTTTAAAGGAACACAGTTTTCAACCGTGGTGAAACCTGTCATTTTGATTAAAAGTAAACTCCTGAACCGATTTTGATAAAATTTCCACGGGACTAATCTGAATGTACATGTATTACTTCATATAAAAAAGAATTTTCCAAATTGTATGAACCGATTTGGAACATTATTTTTTTTTGATGAATGACGGAGTTATGAAGTAGAAAACATAAAAAAGAAAATACACCGAATCGAGAACCTTCTCCTTTTTTGAAGTTGGTTAAAAATAAAATTTATTTATTTACGACTTCGTGCACGACCAATATATGTTAATTGTTCGGGATGGATAATTTTTATTGCTCCGATAGGTGGCGGTATTGTCAAAATAACAGTTGAGTTTACTGGAATAGATACACAGAACGACAGGCGACAGATGCCTCTGACTACCCCACTGACAACTGTAGTCATGAAAATATGTTTTTTTATTTTTACAACAAATCATTGATATGTTTTTTTTTGTAATGGATACCCACCCGCGCTATCGGTATAACCGGCGGGGCACCAGTGAAGGATGATAGGTGAGGATGAAGTAGGTCAGTTAGCCCTTCGTGATGAATTCAACAAGAATTGTTCACGATTGTTTCCAGGGGGAACCACGTGGTGGTCGACCTAATAAGGCATATTGCTAGCAGTGGGGCTATCAAACTTCATTGCCAACAATCCCTTTCTCCCCATCATCGATATGTTGTTATTTATATTTTGGAATATCAACTTGTGCCTATTTACTGACGCGTGCATTGCTTCACTTTCAGGTGGTTCGGTCATCGTATTCTTTCTTTGCTGTTATGTACTAAAAATGGAGCACCATCGTATTGAAGATCAAAAAACATTTTGTTCTAATTTATTAACTAGATTTTGATTTTGATTTTTTTAAGCAGTGGACAGTTAACGGTTCAGCCGTTAACTGTCCACTGTTGAACACAGCCTTCCCCATAAGGGGAGTTTTGCCAGTAGTTGCCACGCTTGGCAGGCGGGTTGGCAATCGCAGTTAGGCTTCTACAGATGTTTTAAGAGGGACGCTGCTGCCCATCCCTCGACCTATCTTAGTCGACTCTTACGACATTTACGGGAAAGGAAGGGGTGGCCTATTCTACGCCGGGACCACACGACGCGGGTTTTGATTGCAGAAATGTATTTAAAATATTTTGAAGCAAAATATGAAATAGGTGCAAAAGATGTTTCAAGTGTAATTTTAATTATATTTAAGTACATATGTTTACCACTATTATATCTGTGTGTACAATAATGTATAAATAAATAAATTTAAGTTCATAAAAGACCCCGTTGTATATTATATTTTTATACATTATTTAGTTATTAAAAAAACTATAAAAAGTAGAGAGCACATTCTATAAAATTATGTATGGTATCCTCAGAACAATAATGTTATGGTTTTGTACGCTGTAATTTCATTGCCATTTTTATTTATTTATTTTACACTTTATTGCACCAAGTAAAAAAATATTAATTACAGAAAATATTAAAGAGAAGTGATACAAAAGGCGGCCTTATCGCTAAGCAATCTCTTCCAGACAATCTTTGGGGAGAGGACATTGAGAAAAAGACAAAGGGTAGGTGGCGCACTATTTTATAGATACTAATGTATACAAACATACATATATAAAAACAAATATGTACATAAACATACACATATTTAATAGCATAAATACACCAGGAGATAATAACGGAAGAAAATGAAGAGAGAACACAAGAAAATAGTACTAAAGGGAGATGTAGTAGGATTTAACAGAGGTTTTGAAGCTAGTGAGAGTTTGAGCGCACCGAGTGAGTTATACAGGCGAACTGCCTGCACAGTAAAGGATTTAGAATAAAAGGAAGAAGAATGAACCATATGCCATCTTTTAAACCAGAACATTTAACTGTTTTATATAGTATAATAATATTTTATCCATTTATTTATAAATGTATTTATTGTACATATATATTTTTTATTTAATACATTATGTGTATGTTTATATTATGTGAATTTATCAAGTATTGCTTTATTTTTTCTTTATTTAAAAATGCACCACCTACCTATTTCTCGGTTTGACCAATGGTTGACTGGTAGAGAACACCGTCCGGTGTTAAGTCCGCCAAATGTACAAAGAATTTTTCTGTGCATTAAAGTTTAAATAAATAAATAAACATCGACAAAACAATACGATAATAACTGCAAACACGGGTGGGACAGAAGTACTTACACAGACGATTGCCATACATATTGTTTTTCACCGGAAAATTATTTAAAAATACTTATTACAGAGCGTCTATAGTTTTCTTTACGCGGTGCGGAGTATTGGCGAGGATTTCCAACCTTTTGTGTAATTTGAACGCTAAGGAGCTATCTCGTAATTAACTTTTCTATTAAAAGGCTATAACAGGAGGATCGTGTAACTAAGGGATTTTAGAAATTTAATAAAGCTCCCATTCATTCCTCATTCAGTAGCTGATAGCAAAACAAAGCATAAAATGGAATAAGCAGTTGTATTCAATATGAAAATTCGGTTAAACAGGATTAGTGATGTGCCGAATCGGTCTTTATTTGTATTCGTTGAAATAAGAATCGAATCCCTACTCGAATGAGAACTCGGACAAATAGTCGAATACTTATACATGTATTCGAGTATCAGTTTCGAGTATTTTTAAATTAAATTCTGATTTGTTAACTGTAATGAAGATAATAAATATTCAGGAATTAAAATCTTTTTATAAATAAAAATGTTCATTAATTTTTCCTTTAGTAATAAAGGAAAATTTTAATAAAATGTTGGAACAGATATACAAAACTTATGTTAATATATGTATTAATATGGAATACTACTTATGAGTAGTATTTCAGTATTGACATGATAGAGTATTCAAGGTCCTTGAATATTGTATTCGAATACACACAGTATTCGAATACTGTGTATCTAAGTTGTGTACATTGAGTACTCGATTACTTGAGTAACTACTAAGTGTTCGATTTAGTACTGACTCGGCACATCACTAAACAGAATCCTCGGAGTAACTAAATCCCATTCGTATTGCTGACTAAGCGATTTCAACCAGATTTTAATAGAAAGAGTATTTTGTATTTAATTGTCTTTTTTGATGTGGTATAGATGTTACCCGATATTTAAGTAGTTTTATTCACTAGTTGTACCCGCAACTCCGCCCGTATAACTAGTAAAAAAAAAAAACCGACTTCAACTGTGGTAAAACCAGATATTTTGATTTAAAAACTAAATTACTGAACCGATTATGATAAAATTTCTATAGGGTCTATCTGTGAGTTATAAGGTAACAAACATAAAAAAATTACAATTGAATTGAGAATCTTCTTCTTTTTTAAGTCGGTTTACTAATAAATTGATTATGTTCACTGTACAATATTATAATTTATAATATGCTGTTCATGTCTATAAGCGACGGTGGTCTTTCCATCAGGCGGGTTAATATAATTTATATAAGTTACATATAAAAAGCATAAGTACATGTTTCGCCATACATAGACATATTAAATATTGGGTTTCCGATAATAATTTTATTTTATTGTAATTACCCATTGATATAGACTTGGACAAAATACACCTAGTTCTGTAAAATATTTGTAATACAAATTTTCAATGATATACATTTCATGGTAATCATAACGGTGCAAGGTAGAGGAGGTGGCGGTCATTTGTATTGTTATCAAAGTGAAATAAGAAACACTTCTAGTCTCAGAGTTTGCACATACTAAAGATGAAACATTGCAACATATTACGCACAATTGTCTAAATGAGAGGCTTGGTGCGGAAAATAGAGTCCAATTTACATTGCAACATATATGTTACGCTTCATACATAAAGCTTACAGATACTTTTTCCTTTGGAATTCACAAGACTGACTAGAAGAAATCCCTTCAAAGGAAAAGTCTGCCTCTGTACATATTCATTATAATCTGATTGATATCTATATAAAAAGTGAATGCACATAAGCATTTAAATAAAGAAATAAGCAAATAAATAAATTATTGATTAAAACATTATAAGTTTCATTTAGAATCAATTATTTAATTATGTATAAAAGATCTTCTTTTCTCAGTATTTATTAATGCTATTACTCAAGTAATTTCTTCTCCCTACCATCTCTATGCAGACGATTTGCAACTATACCAACACTTTGAACTCTGTGACATCTCTGAGGCTATTGATCATATAAACCATGATTTAAATAAAATATCCCATTGGGCAAAATCCTACGGACTTCTAGTCAACCCCCGTAAATCTCAGGCATTAATAATCGGGGGCATCGGAGATATACTGCTCTTGATATTGATGTTTTACCTTCTATTTTCTATGAGCAATCTCCAATTCCGTATGCTAGAAGTGCAAAAAATCTTGGAATCATGTTCGACAGTAATTTATCCTGGGGTGAGCATATCAATGGAGTAAGTAGGAAACTATACTTTTCTTTTCACTCGCTCAAACGTTTTCAGAAATTTTTGCCCATTGAAACGAAAATCACACTCGCCCAAGCTTTATTACTACCTCTTCTAGATTATGCTGACGTATGTTATCTAGATGTCACAGAGGAACAATTAAATAGGTTGGAGCGGCTACAGAATTTATGCATACGTTTTATTTATGGACTTAGAAAATACGATCATGTCTCCTCTTACAGAAGTATATTAAAATGGCTCCCAATTCGTCAACGTCGTGATTTTCATCTTTTATCTTTCCTGTATTCTGTACTGTATAATTCTTCCTCTCCATCTTATCTTTGTGAACGTTTCACTTTCCTTGACCCCACTGGCATGTCCAGTAGGTCGAGTAAATCCCTTATTCTTAAAATCCCTCCTCATACCTCCTCATGCTATAGTGGATCATTTACGGTTCATGCGGCTAGACTATGGAACTCTCTTCCACTGCATATTCGTGAAAGTCAATCGCTGAATATATTCAAGAGCAGATTAAAAGAGCATCTTCTGTCCTCATAAACTTATTATGTCTATGTATGTATATGTACCTATTTTTTTGTATGTAAAGAGATATTTTATGTCTATGTATATATGTATATGTATACAGATATGTATTTATTTTGATTTTAATTGTATGAGTTATTTATGTAGTCAACATATTTCATATGTTTTAATAGAAACATCAATAATGTTTCCTTCTATTATTGTACGCATACTGCCCGCTAATAAATAATTAATGCTCCTTTCCACTCAGGGTTTGCTGGAAGAGAACTCTTACAGAGTTAAGCTCGCCTATTGTACACCTTTATTTTATATATATTATATGTAATATTTTTTTTGTGTACAATAAAGAATAAATAAATAAAAAAAGAAATACAAATTATAAGAGTAAAAAAAAAAAATAAACAAAAAAATAAATAAGTAAATAAATTTTTACGTATTTATTATTACTGTATAAAGATCGGTCGGAGCCGTCAGCTTGTTGTCCACTCCAGGTTTTATAAAAATAAAACGTTCATATACATACAAATAGTTAAGTTATTATTACGTTTGCGTGCAGTGCATTCAAATATATAAATCCTTTTCACGCGGCAACAAGAATGCAGGATTCGCGGCAAATAATCTTAATTTTGATGCAACTACAAGTTGTGGGCGCTTTGTGTTGCAAACAAGCAATTTGCAGCGCTGACTTTTACTTGCGATATTCTTCCGTTGGCGCAACCATTCTGTGTTCCAATTGGCAAGTATCCAATGGCGCTGCGTTCCAAGATACAAATTCGAGAGCGTCGCAGCTCCAAGTTTTGAATTGAAAGATGAATGTTGCCATTTTTGATTTAATATGAAACATAGCCATGTTGTTTCGAGATTGTGAGTTATTTTATGATTGTTTCTGATATATTTATTGCTTTTAAAAAGATTTGTAACCAGCCAAGGACTATATTTTCCGTGTCAGAGTTATTGAGGTACGCAATTTTTAGTTTAGTTCACTTTTATATCACTAGATGTCGTCATATCATTTTTGTAACATTTGTGAAGGTTATATTCATTAAAAGCATATAATAACTGTAAGTATAGGTACTTAAAAAATATGGGAAGCAAAATTCTTCAATAGAGTCCCCGTATAGGAAAATGCTGTGTAAGACGACCTTCTCGTGTACCAAAAGATGTTTTTGTGTTGTAGGGAATCAGTGGATGCAAGTGGCTCAGGATCTTTTATATATAATAGTCTATGAAAGTCGAATTGATGATGATGATGATTGAAAGTGATTTGAAATCTTCTGGGCGCTTTATTTATACTTTTTTTTTACATAATGTTACATAAGTCATGCGCAATAGTTTTCTAAGTTACTCATTTAATATAGGGATACCGTTTTTTTCTTATTTTAATAATGTGTTATGTGTATAAATCTTTATACTAACAGATGTTATATGTATATCTGTCTATCATTTGTTAATTTATTTACTTAGTTTTATATTTACCCAGATGAAATACTGTTACATGAAAAGTTTATTAACTCAAATATTATACTTGATAGTAGTCGAATTCATATTAATATTGGGGTAATTATTAGTATGAGAACAAATAACGATCCTTAGTTTAACCCTATTAATTAGTTAGGGTTTGACCCAACCCCCTTAATACCTAGTTTGTAAGTTTAAAACTGATAATATACAAATTTGACGATCCCCGTGCTACTGCAGTGAGCACGTTGCTCTGTGTAAATGAGGTCCCGGGTTTGATTCCGGTCGGGCCAATTTATACGAATTTCTCTAAACTGGCTCGAGTTTGAGGGTTTTGGGTTCTGGCACTTATTATTATTATTATTAGGCGACTACAAAAAAATAAGAACGTTTTTAATTCGACGGTATTTTTTTTATATTTGTTACTTCATAACTACGTCAGTTATAAACCGATTTGAAAAATTTTTTTTTATTTAAAAATATATATATATATATATATATATATATATATATATATATATATATATATATATATATATATATATATATATATATATATTAAATTGGTCCCATAGAAATTTTATCAGTTTTTAATTGAAAATAACTAGTTTTGCCACAACTGAAGTCGGTATTTTTTATAGAAAACAATCTTAAATTATTCAGCAAAGTAAGTTTGTATTTTGAAAATAAAATATTTGAAAATAAAATAAAGACATATTTTGAGCAACATCCTTTTTACAACGTGACCGAATACCTAAATGTCGATATTAAATTATGACATATTATTATTTATTTACGTTTAATTGTAAGAAGTGTGACAATTACAATTTTATAACTTGAAGTTATCATTATTGGCGTATAGTTACCATTATATTGACATGTAGTAACTGATTTATAATGTTAATTATAATTAATTTATAATGTTACTTTAATTTTATAATTCAAATGTTATTATCCTTGTTATTATTTATTTTATTAATTTCAAAATTATAATGTAAATATTAACTTGCCATTGTGCGACGAAAACTAAAACATTAATTAATAAAGAAATATAATAATAATATAATAATATTTTTCTTTCACAAAAGGCAGTAAAAGGTAACAAGTTGAGGTAAAATAAAATATGTGAGGTCAATTTTGTGAGAGACCGGTGCCTGCAGTAGGTTTTGAAGAACCCGTGTTACAAGTCACC